CTCGTTAATGTGTAACTCCAGCCTCCACAGACAGTGCTGAGCTCCTGCTCTCCCATTTTTACACAAAACAATTCCTCTGCAGCCACAAACTCAAGGACACTTCCCTGTGCCAGGCCCCAAGAGATGGAAACAACAGAGAATTGGGGGGAGCCAACTTGGAGTGAATGACTGCATTGGCTGCAGCTGCAATTGGAGGATTCAGCCCCGATGTGCAAATGGACAAAAGTGAGAAAGGGTGAAAAACCCGTGAGCCATTGTCCATTGTGGGTGTGGGACTGCCCTGRATGCACCTGAAGGCCCTGCAATAAATAGAACTGCTTTTTATTCTCTGATTTTTATCTGGCCTCTGTTTTAGGTAAGCAGGGATAAGGCATCAKAGCAGACTCTGAATTAAGCAAYGCTGCTTTTCCCCTGATTGGAGCACAATGCAGTGACCAACGAGCTATGAAATTTTGACAGAGAGAACACTGCAAGCAAACCATGGAAATTCCCTTTTTTTCCCTGACTGCCAGCTGAGCTGCTGTTTCCCCTGAGACACACCAGTCCATGCCATGAGCCCCTCCAGAGATTTTGTCCTGAACCCGCCCCAAGCAGAGCCCTCCCATCTCTGGACCCTTGCACASAGTGACCCTCAGCCATCCCAAAACAGCTCCAGTGAGATGTGACAGCCCTCTCTGGAGGCAATGAGTGCTTTAAGGAGCCTCCAGAGCCTTGTGGATCAGCCTCTGCCCATATCCCAGAGCAGCTGGGTCTCACCCTCTCTGAGCAGACAGACAATTTTCTCTCTCAGAGGAGTTCATGGCCCCTCATGCTGTGTGGCAGATCCCTGCAAGTTCAGCTGGAGGATGAATTTTGAAGCACAGACAAGTCTCCTGAGCTTTGGTCGACTTGCGTCACTCCATCATTTTGCCTCAKCCCCTCTGAGTGAGATTTCATTTTTATTCCTCTTGTGCTGCACTCTCAGAAATGCCATGAACATCTGTGCCTGTCCCAAGCTCACATTTTTCACTGAAAGTGCCAGTTAATGGTGAGTGAAGYGCCAGCCCTGTAACCTGGCTGCAGCCCTGCTGTGTGGGCTCTGAATGGATCCTGACTGCATTTCCCTGGGAAAGCCCCACAGCCCCACCAGGAGCTGGAAAATGAGGGACACAGCAGGAACCTGCTCTTCTTGGTGGCTTCCCAAGCCAGTCTGACAGGGGGTCACACCAGAGGGACAAAGTCCAAACTAAAAGGAGCAGAACCCATGTCATTACAGTCTCCTCCGGCTGCATCTCCCAGATTTATGTGCCTAACACCACAGCAGTGAACTGCAGAGGTGTGCTCAGCGTTCTTTTGAGAGAATACTATTTTAATTTTTTTTTTTTTCACATGTTTGGAGCCCTTTTTTTTTTTTTTTTTTTTTTTTTTTTTTTTTTTTTTTTTTTTTTTTTTTTTTTTTTTTTTTTTTTTTTTTTTTTTTTTTGCCAACAGTGGTAGCTACTGCTATTTTAATTTCAGATTCTAGAGATGTGCATGGCAGAGCCCAAATCCTGATGATGATGCCAAGGAGACGAGGGGTTGTGGAGATTGCATGTAGCAAAATTGTCTTTTTTAAAAAAATGGGTGGAAAATGCTGGTAACCTTTCAGGCTACTCCCAGTTTTTCTGTAGCACTGGCTAACTTGTAAATGTCAGAAAACAAGGAATGCCAGAGTTGTGCAACTCTGGTGGGGTCCCTGTGCCAGGGAGGGGAGGGGATAGGTACAGCATCCAAAATTGRTGTTCCCCAATCACTGCCACCCCCACTGAGCCACTGGGGCCTGTGGGAGGAGGGGGAATTATTTGGGAAAGGCTGCATGGCCCTGGACCACCATCTGCTGCAGCCTCCTGAAAACCCTCTAACAATTCCTCCAGAGGGGAAGCCAAAATAATTTCTGCTGTGCTGTAAGCAAGCAAAATCATCAGCCTGGGCAGAAATAGGGGGAAGGTAGTAAAAACACACCCAAAAAAGGATGCGTAGCCACCCTGAGCAGAAGTCCCTGGTTAAAAGCCAAACTTCACAAACTGCCCAGACCCTTGGAAAATTCCCTGTGAGAGGCTACCTTTCCCTCCATCATAAAACCATTGACTCATTCACAACCAAGAAACCTCCAAGAAATTTTGTCCATCCTCAAAGAGTGTTATCAGCACTACATTAACAGGTGAATTTGCATAGAAAGCTGTGGTGAAGAGCTCCTTCCTGAAACTGTGATCACAGGCTATGAATGACTAGAATTTCTTTAAATGAAAATTAATTCGGCAAAAGGAAACARGAATTTTTTTGCAGAGCCAAGTGCACAGAAGAGGAGGAAGAGGTGAAATATCCCAGAGAGGTGTGACTGGGAAGACTTCTGGGTAAAAAAGTGAAATATTTTGCATGACACACAGGTGTTGGTGGCAATGCTTAAGTTCCTCTGCAAGTGTATGAGTCCTTTGGGGCCAGAGGGGCTCTGGGTTTGGGGACAACCAGGGGATCCTTCAGTCACACATTCCCTGTCCCACACAAAACACCACCAGACACCCCCAGGGTCCTTGCACAGAGGCTTTCAGAGCTTCTCATGGTTTTAATCAGCTGATGGATTGCAAAAGGCTTTCAAATCATCCCTTCTCAGAGCAGGGAGGCATTCATGGCCTGGTGACCCCAAAAGTGAAGGGCAGCTTGGGTCCTGCACTGCTGCCCCTCTGTATGGCTCTGGCCTGCCCCAAACCTGCCCTCATTTCCTGTCACCATTTCCTATCAAAACTCTCACTTTCTGGCCATCCAGGCACAAAAAGGGGCCACAAATGGTTCAAATATCATTTCACACTCCTGACAGACACACAGGCTGCTCAGGCATGTCAGGTAACATCTGCACACAGATTACRTTCAAAATGCATTTCCCTGTTTTCACTCCTCTGAGAGGTTTGAACGGGGGTCAAATGTCTGGGATTCAATGTTTTTTTCCTCCTGGCTTTGCTGGATTTCTGTCAGGAAGGAGAGAGATGTCAGCACATGGCAGAGAGTCACTGAGGCTCTGGCAAGAAGATGCATCTGAAGGGCAAGCAGCAGAGGCTGGGGACCTGTTAGCACCAGGCAAAGAAAGGAGGCAGCTTCASCCAAAATGCCCTTTCCATGCCTGCAGCATCAGCTCTCTCCTGGAAGGAAATTGCCCTTTCCCAAAGTGCACCCGTTCATGCCTTCCCCCTGGAGATGGAAACGCAAGGAGCTGCACAATTTGAGGTACAAAGCTCCGAGATTGCCCAGTAATTAATCTCAGTAAAAGATTSGTTTAAAATAGTGTCAGACGCTGGGGGGATTTATTGGTTTCTAATTACCATATACTAATCTCCCTCCTCTGCCTGCTTTCTCCTGCATCTGCAGAAATGTCCCCCTGATGGGGATGAGCCCTGGGGCACATTCACCCTCTCTGGGTAAGAGGCACTGCCYCTGCTCCTGACTCCCAGCCCTCCCTGAGTTTTGGCCTCTGGAAACAAGTGGSTTTTAAATTTAAATAGCCCCCAGCTTCTGTGTTTATGGCTCATATTAATATTTCATTTCATTTTCTCATTGTGAGAAAAAAAAAASACCCACAACAAACAGCTGCATTTATTTTCTCTGTTTTTCACAGTTAATCAGCATCAAAGAGGAGGATGGTGGGTTCAGCTTTTTGGCAGAGCAAAAACTGCCCAAGCTGATTTTACCWGTGGGGTAAATTATGGGGATGTAGGGTCACCAGCCTTTCCTAAACACCCTGGGTATCTGTGTKGAAAGCTATTTGAGTCCAGCATGAGTGCTGAAACCTTTAGTCTTGGGTGTTCATATCTGTGCAGACTCTGGAGCTGTGGATGTGCCAACTGCAGGGAGAGCACCTCCACCCCACCCTCTCTGCCATCCAACAACTTTAATCATCAATTTCTGATTAAATCCTTCACRTGGCTCCATGGAAATGAGGTGTGCACTGCTCTCTGTACTGACCCAATGGACTGAAGGAATCGTKTGGTGGTCAGGCTGCTGAATTAATTTTGTTCTTTTCCTGATCCTTTTTGTTTTTGCTTGCATGAGGGATAACGGGAACATGAAAGAAAGGGCGAGTCATCCCCAAAAAATGTGGAAAGCACATCCTCCAAGTGGTGTTGGGCACCACACCAACCTTCCAAAAGCCTCACAAAGGAACAAATGAAACCCCCAACACGAGTTGCGTGTTTCCTATATCACTTTATTGACCGCCACTGACCACGTTCTCAGGTTGAGCGCCAGATACCAGTGGAAGAGGTGGAGCTACCCTAGAATTACAGGGAGAGAGCAAGGGAGACGGTGTGTCACGCACAGGCTGGGGAGAGCTGGCTGGGGATGAGAAGCCTCTGCACAGCCCCCTCTCTCCCCCCGAGGGCCTACAAAGACAGTGGAGAGACGTGCTTGTCCTCCTGTCAGTTGTCCCGAAGGGAAATGACAGGGCAGAGRTGTGAACAGAGACACTTAAACACTTTGCTGAAAACAAAAAATACAACTCCCCGAAGGTTAGATATTATCATTATTATTATTATCATCATTATTTTTCCTGCGGTTGCAAGGAACTCAAGGCAGGTTCGTTGCAGAGACACGGGGCCTCAAGTGTGGGGCTTGGCTCTGTTGCTGCTTGAGAGGAACCAGTTTAACTCTGAGTGGGGTACAGCAATCCTGCAGGGCTTTTTTTCCTCTCCAAGCCTCTCCTCAAGGCTTGGGACACCAGGAGCCAGCGTTACTCGTGCACTCCTTCCTACCTGGTGGTGGATATGGGCTACAGCACCGGACGAAGACCCTTCCAGCAAGCACAGCAGCACGGCAGCATCGCCACCCATGCCATCCCCACAAGGTTTAAGCTTCAAAGTCCACCAGCCGCTCACCCAGCCCCTCGTTCCATCCAAGGGAAAAGGGGGAGAACRAAAAAAAAGAAAACAAAAAGRAAGAGGAAACAAAGAGGGGGAGGAACCAACAGAAGAAACCCCTCTAGATATTCACTGATATCTATGCAATGGCTCTGGGAATGAGACCTGCAGGTGGTGGCAGCCTGCGCAGCGCGGTGGCCGGCGGGCTTAGGAGGAGGGAGCGGAGGTGGGCTTCTCCTCCCGGGACACGGGGATGGGCCTCTCGCTGTGGCYGGCGTCCATGTTGGAGGGGACCTTGGGGCCCGAGAAGGTCAGCATGCCATCGTTGGACAGGGAGCAGGTGATGGCAGCCTGGTCCACGTTGGCGGGCAGGCGGTACCGGCGGTGGAATTCGCGGGAGATGTATCCGTGGTCATCCTGAGAGGCAGTGGGGAAAGGGGGGGAAGGTGTGTCAGAAACCCTCCGGTGCCTCCCTTTGTCCAACTCCCTCGGAGCGGGACAGCCACATTCACCCCGGCTCATCGTGACACTGCACTGCCAGGAGCGCTGGCCACAMCCCTGCTGGGTTTAATCTCACAGGTTTGTAGGGGCAGGTGTCCCCCGTGACACCCCTGAGCTCAGCAGAGTGGCAGGGAGTGATTTTGGCTGTAGGTTTGATCCCCATCTGGGATCTGATCTGGACTCTGATCTCAAAGGATGCTTGGAGACAAAGTCTGAGGTCTGGGAAGGTAAAACCAAGGTGGATGTGTGCACCCATGTTTTTATTTACTATGCTGCAATGCTGTGTCAGCCAAAGCACACAGTCCTGGCCTCCTTCTTTTTTTTTGGCCAAAACAATGAGAAATGCAATTWTTTTTTTAAAGTTGGCCATGAGAAAAAATAACTATGTTAAAAAATACATACTGTTTCTAGGCTAGAGCTTTGTCTGGCCAAAAGTGTGTATGAAAAGAATTAAATCCCTGCTGGTATAACTCACTTTTYGACCCCCACAGATATTTCCATGACATACATGTTAAAAGTTTCCAAGCCTGAGGCACTTGGTTGGTTTTCTTTTGTTTTGTTTGCTCTTGCTTTTCTCTCTCAGATTGGCACATGAAATCTCTGTTTTCACTAAGGATTCTGGCTTATGAAAACTCAGCCATGCTTCGGCAGCGCCAGCTGATGTTCTTTGTCTGGCCCAGTGTTATTAGTGAACAATGGACATCGTCATCTGACGGTTATGGAAGATGATGATTGAAAATAAACAAAAGAGRAGTGGATTAGCTTGTTATTGTCAGATATCAGGTGGGGCCTCTATGGGAACAGGCCGTGCCAATAATAACAATCAATATTTAACTCTTTCTGAGATTTTCTTTTTTTTTCCTTCAGCTGAGAACCGCTGGAAAGAAGGAAAATGGAGCTGGACTCCCCAGTTGCTCCACCATCACTGTCACTTCCACTCACCTGCCTTTCACTGTGCTTGCCATGGATTTCCACAAAGTCATCGATAATCTTCACRCTCAAGTCTTCGGGAGAGAAGTGTTTTACATCCAGCATGATTGTGAACTTGTCCCGATCAGATCGCACCTGAAACGAGCATTGTCACACACTGAGACCCAAGCTCTGGGTGCTGAGGCTGCGTCAGCATCACTTCAAAGCTGGAAAGGGGCTGCTCTGGCAGTTTGTCCTTCTGTGACTATGGGCCTCAGCAGGGGTCTTCTTCCCATTGTGGGGACCCAGGGACACTGGGAGACTGTGGGAGGTGTCAGGGACACTTGGAAGGCCACAGGAGGTGTCAGGGTCACTGGAAGGCCATGGGAGGTGTCTACACCTTGGCCACTGCTCTGGGGAGAGGCGTCACTCCTTGCTGCTATTCTTGGGCCAGGGATGCTTTAGTACTCAGGGACCTGCCAGATGCACTGGGCAGAGAGAGGGGATGGAAACCAGTGTAAGGCTCTCTGATAGCACGTGTTTCGTCCTTTCAGTGGTTTATGGTTTGATTGTGGTCATAGCTTTGGGAGGGAAGCAGTAAGAGAGGGCTACAGAAGGCACCCATCCCTGAGCTCAGATCGTGACCCTCGAGGCTACACATTCCCCTACAGCTCCCTTCAGACAACTGCTCTGGGGTCCTTCAGTGAGGGATTGCTAAACCCACCGAGCTCCCAAGGAGGAGGAGGAGGGGGCTGCAGAAAGCTCCCACTCACCAGAGTCCTCCCCCATGGCGAGCTGCCCTCACAGGCACTTACTCTGGGAGCAGCCTTGCTCTTCTTGGCCGCACAGCTGGCGGGCACAGAGGAGCAAACCCAGCCTTCTACGTGTTGGAAACAACTCTCAAAAAGAGCCAGCATGGTTTCTGTTTCTCAAAGGGAAGCTTTGTTCCCAGCAAGGGTTTCTCTCTGAACAAGGGGTGGGGTGGGCCGTGGCTGGCACTGGGTCCAGGGTCTTCCTTGTCCCCTCACACAGGACCACAGCAGCGTGAGATGTGGGTGGTGAGGAGCAGGTGGAGGCATAAGGAGGGARAARAAGGAAAAGGAGAGGAAATCAAAGGGCCCTTACCTCTGAAATGCCCGACTCCAGCACGCTGCGGAACAGGGACTGCCTGTAGTAGGGGCTGATAGTGGAYGAGAACAAAGGCAGGAGGTCATACTCAAAGAGACCCTCTCCAAAAAACTGGTCGAACAAACGGCTTGGAATGAAGGGTCCCAGAGCGCGCTTGAACCAGGGGTGCTGGATGGTAATGTCCATGCTGCTGCTGCTGCTGCTGCTGCTGCTGCTGAGACCTGTGGCTGCAAGGGGAGAGTGGAAGGGGCAGTGCTGCTGCTGGGGAGACAGCGATGCCTTGGCTGGACTGCGCGGTGCAGCCCCAGGGAAGCTCCCCCTATATATACCGGCCTCGCAGAATGAAGGCATTAGCAGGATTCCTCTGGAAAGACATGATCTCATGATGGAGGCAACGTGGTCAGCAGAAATGCGGAGACTGACCTGGAAATGACAGTCTGGTTGGAATCGGTGCCAGATGTCCTGGAGGGATGATGCCAGGCAGCAGGCTGCGAGGCACGGGGTGCCCAGGGGTGCTGGTGCGCCCACTGTGGAAACAAGCAGGCTGGACAGGACACCCCGCTGAGCATCCCAGAGATGTTTGTGAAAGGGATCTGCTCCATGGGTCTTCACAACCTGCCCTTAGCTTTTCCTTAATTTGCTTCTTTTCTGCCCCTCCTTGAAGCAGAGATTCAAGATTTCTTCCAAATAATTGAAACAGCTTTCTTCCAAGYGAGGAAAAAGGGTCTGATTTAGGTTAAAGAAAAGGAATTTTTTTTTGTGACACGGTACAAGGTGCCTCTGTCACTTGAGAGGGGCCTGATGCCCCCCGCACAGGGATCCTGGCAGGACTGGCAGGGAAGCAGGAAACAAATGATGCAGAGCATCATTTTTTATCTGACAAAACAAAAACTTTTTGACAAAAAATACTTTGACGAAAGAAAGAAAGAAAGAAAGAAAGAAAGAAAGAAAGAAAGAAAGAAAGAAAGAAAGAAAGAAAAATAAGCTTGGTCTCTGCCCGTAACATCAGCCCCAAAGCTGCTCTTGAGAGTGTCCTTGTTTTGATTTAGGAGTGATGTGGGAGATCCATTTATCTCGTGGTGTCACAGCACAGATCCTGCTTAACATGCATTTCTGGTTACAGCTATTTTTTCATTTCTGTTTCACTTAAACCTCCTTTAAGGGTTCATCTGGCACCCTGGACTGCCGGGCAATGGGCACCGTGCCCGCCGCCGCAGCCGCAGGCTCTGCCAGAGAGCTGAGGTGGCTGGGCAGTGAAAGGGCAGCCAGGCTGCCCAGCTCCACAGCAAAGCTCACAGGCTGTGGCCACAGCTGAAACCCCATTTCCAGCRCATCCAGAGATGCAGGGATTGCATTCCAAGAGCCCCTGAGCAGCAGAAACGCCTGTGYTGGGGGTCTTGTGCATCTTTTGCAGCTGGCAGAGAGTGAAGGAGAGAGAAGAGAGGGCATTTCCAAAGGGAACTTTGGATCTGAGGGGTTGAATCGTCCTCTCACATTGCTGGGGAACAAAGAAAGCAAGGGTGGCTCAGATCCTGGAATCAGTGCTTGGGAGAAACTGGTTCAATCCAGGCCAGAGGAGGTAAATTGAGAAAAGCACTGAGGCAAAGCGACATTCAGCTGAGCATGGCCTGGCATCCAGGAACCATGAGGTCTTGGAAAATCCTCGGCCTTGACTCCCACACATATCCCCTCCCCACGTAGTGCATGGAGGCAGGAAAGGAAAAATGGGAACCAGAAAATCCTGTCACAGATTTCATGGAAAGCAAAAACTGGAACAGAAAAACAGTATAGACTGCTAAGAAGATAGAAAAGGACTTAGGTTCCACCCTACATAGTTCCAGGAAGAAAAGCCCCATGGTCTGGCCATGGCTCTCAGGCATRAAGGATTTTCTAAAATCAGGTGTCAAAAAGAGACCAATCCCTCCTCAAGCCGTGGAGGAAAAAAAAACAAAAGAGAGACCTAACCCCTCATTTATTCCCATTGTACCAAATCAGGCATTTTGTTTGAAAAATTWAGGGGAAGCAAATAAGTAATGTTTTTTCTACCAAGATTTTTCTTCAGGAACTCTATGAGAATTTTCCTGGCAGACAATAAACTATCTCCTCAGCACCCAGTTCCAGAGACTTGCTAACCTGAGCCAACTGGCAGCAGTGACCTGATGCAGAATGCATCACCTGCTATGCAGGATGAGASGCAAAATGATGGGAGAAATCCAGGAACAAACTCAAATCCCAAACCACTCACGGGAGCATACAAAACAAGTTATTTATTTGGCTGGTAGAGGGAGATAGTGAGATAGATTTTGGGGGTCTGACAGTCCATTTTGGCCCCAGCTGTGCATGAGGGGTGAATGCCATCCCTAAAGTGCATTGGGAACATCCTCTTAGCGTTTCGCTTCTCATTTCCATCCATGCCAGGGGCATGGAAAAACACAATTGTGTTCACCTTGGGACCAGAGCACTCTGCATCTTCAGTGGGATGAAAGAAATTTGCTCTTCGGAGAAAAATGAGAAATATGTACTTTTTGGTCTAAATTTTACCTGAAATTATGTATATTACCACATATTCAAATAATTGAAAAATGGCAGCCATCTTTATGGCTGGTTTTACATCTGTAATTTCTTCATGGCTTTCCCTAGAACTAACCATATCCACATGTGTTGGATGGAGATTTTTTTGTCTTTTGGGGTCAAAAATATTTCACTGAAATGCAGATTTCAATTATTTCATTTACAGGACTTTTTTTTTTTTTTTTTTTTGACTCACCCTGCCCGCAAGCCTCTGAGGAAAAAAAATCTTCTGAGATGCATCACATGTGACTTCCAATGGTCTAAAATTTATGTGTCCGGTTCAAATGAGTTGTCCACACTCCCTGTCAGTGGAGAGTAGATACTTCCAGATGACTCACATCATGTGGACAGGTGATGAGAAAGGAAAGGTAAAATGAGACCTCTTTCAAACAGTGTCTGTATCTCAGGAGGGYGTTGAGGAGATAATTCTAATCCTAATTCCAATTCTAATCTCCTTCTGGACAAGCAAAGCTGGTGAGATGAATCYCATCCAGTGGGAATTTGGTATGAGAAGAGATAATTATCATTTTGCATCAGTTCAGCAGACCACATCTCACAAGACATGAAATGTTTGAGCATCATTATCACCTGCTGGGCAAAAATGGTGAGATTTGTTGGTGTTCCTATAAATGAAGGAAAATTAATGCATATGGTCATGAGCCATCCAGGAGCAATGCATCAAAAGCAGTTGTTTCCATATCAACTCTTCAGACAGTTCTCCTGGAAAACAGGGATGCATGCTAGAGCTTTTTGCTTCAAATAAATATATCAACCCCACAAAATCCAACTATACTCATTTAGAAGGTCCTCTGTGTTCAGATGTCAGCTGTTTAGTGATGATATAAGGAATTGAAAATTCTCTGGCAATATTTAATTATAAAATTTTTGCACCATGCTAATCAGACTAAATTTCCCCTTCATAGAAAACTATGAKTTACAAAAAGAAAATCATGAGAGAGACATGGAGCTAGAGTAAGTAATAATGTGATTTTTTGCAAGTTTTCTTCCTACCATTCTTGCTGCAGTGGAAAATGCTACGTAATGTGCATAAGAAAGCTGGTCAGTGGGGAATAGAAAAAAAAAAAAAAAAGGACTGAAGGACTGTGTTTTTCTTAATCTTGCATAGACATACCTTTGGAAAGGATGCAAGAAGCCAGGATGAAGTCAGGGAAGTCAGAATGCAAGCAGAAAGGGAAGGCTCACTCATGGTTATCAATTTGGGCTGCTAAGCACCTTCTAAAAGCTTTCCCTAGAAATTACCATAGAACATTTCTTCCTTTCTTTCTTTTTAAGGGAAGAGCCCTTTCTCTCTGAGACTCATTTCCCATTCCTCCAAACCTTTCCACCACATCCAACCTGGGATGCTGCTGGAGGAAGGAGCATATGAGACTCATTTTCCTCTCCACCAAACACCATGGAAAGCAGGAGAGCAGTGATTCTGATGAGTTTTGAATGCTGTTGGTACCTTGCTGAAAGTTTATGATGGCTGGGAGGAGGCAAGGCCAATTTGTTATCAATTTGCAGGATGCTTAGATGCTTATCTGGGGTTGGGGCTGCAGGGCAGGCAATGGGAGGCCTGGCATCAGAAATGCCAGGTGCTACATTCTTTTCTTTGTTAGATTAATTACTGATTGTTGTTAAAATCAAACAACACTTGAGAACCCCTCCTTGAGGACARCTCACAGCAAGAAAGAAGCCAGTCAGTGGGAGGGTCACTGCATGCTGAGCACCTTTGAAAAAAACTAACAACCAAAAAACTGCCACCAAACTGGGCCCGCTTTCCTTTCAAAGAGAGAGAAGCATGTTCCTAGAAAACCCTGCAAATTTCCATGCCTCTCAAACAGGCCTCAGCTGCCCCAATGAGAGCAGGTGAGCTGCCCCTGCCCTCCAGACTCTTGGTCAAGCTTGTCCTGGTGTAAATGACCACAACTCTCCCCTCCCTCACCTCTCCAATGGTCAACCCCTGTACCCCAAGTTTTGTCCCAGGCTGTCCCCACTCATGCTGAAAATGCTTTTGTCCCACAAAGACTGTGGTTGCAGAGCTGCTGAACACCAGAGCCAGGGAGGGAACAATCACAGTGGGGACAACTTGTGGAGGGGACATTTTTTAGTTTTCTACTGAAAAAGAAATCTTCGCCTCACCATTTTTAAGGCACAATCCTCTGTTTTATTGCTGCCCTTTGTGATTCTYTTTCTACTCCAGCATCTCCTTTTTKCCTGTTTTAGAGGGATGGGGCAAGTTTTATTTTATAGTTTACAGCATTCCACAGTCGGCTTTACAATTGAGCTGTACACTGGAAAAGTTAAATATCCACAGTACTTATCCAAAGACCGATATTTATTTTATCTAAAGAATTTATATAATATCAACAGTCTGCCTTGGTGCAGCCAAAGAGGCTTAAAAAATTACTAGCAATCCCTTTTTTCCACCTCAGAGCCCACATCCTAAACACTGAACAAATCCCATCAGTGTTTAGGGCACATAATATCATTGTTGTCAAATCAATGGTGAATTTACGTGCTGCTAATCCTTGGCACTTGGTCAAACAAGSTCAGCAAGTTTTAGCAGCACAATGCATTTTATGTTTTCATCAATGGATTTGCATAGGGAATGAGGG